GGCGGAATACATTTTGCTGAATCCAAAGTCCCCGAGCTTCACAAGCCCGTTGCTGCAAAGAAGAATATTGGCTGTCTTGATGTCGCGGTGGATCATGTGCCGTGAGTGCACGTGGTGGATTGCAAGCAGGACCTGAATAAAAAGAAGGCCCGCCTCGTGCTCGCGAAACGCTCGAGCCGCCTTGGCACGGTTCTTGATCTCCTGGCGGAGGTCCCCGGCATTTGCGTAGTCAAGCACCAGTGCTACCATCAGAACATTCTCCTCGTCCGCAGGGTCCTTCTTTGCAAAGTCCTCGTGACACTTCAGGATTGAGAAGAAGTCGCAGTTCAGCAGGCACTGTACCTCCGCCTGTGCGCGGTTCTTGTCGGCTTCCGACATGCCCTCCATTTCCACAACCTTCACGGCGAATGACTGTCCATCCGACCTACGCTTCGCACACAGCACGGTGCCCGTCGCACCGGAGCCCAGAACCCGGCTGATCCAGTACTTCTTCCCCTGCTCCTTCGCCGTCGCCTCGTCACTCGCGAATGCATCGCTGAAGGTGCGACACACGCGGGGAATCATCGCGTCCCCAGAAGGCATCTCCGATATCTCCAGTCAACAGTGCTGTGGCGTATGTATTTATCCTCTTCTTGTTTGCATAATGTATAAAAAAGCAGACAAAATAAGTAAAAAAATGCATATGCTTTTTTTTTTTTTGCGAACTCCTGCGACGGGTTTGCAAAAAAAAAAAAAAGGGGGGGCATGGCCGCATGTCTGTTCTGGTGGCACTGTTTGCGCGAGGACGTCTGCAGCTCCCCGCTCCACCGAAGTGCACGGAGTCAGTTATTAGAAGGAAAAAAAAAGAAAAGGAAGGGGGCGGGCGGAAATTTTACGCCCCCATTTTCTTAGCGTCGGACAGAAAGAAATGTGAAATTACACGATGTTTGCCTTTTGTCCAGAGCCTTTCCGTTCATCCGCCCGTGCGTCCAATGACTCTTTTTATTTCCTCTCCGCCCCCTTTCTCTCTGTCGGTGAGAACAACAGGCTCATTCATGTCTGCCATTACCGCACATTCCAATTGCACTAAAAAAAAAAAAAAAAAAAAAAAAAAAACATTTCCCTCTCACTCTTCATCCTCTGCCATCTTTTTTCCCAACACCTGTGGCTCACAGTTCCTCCGGGGAGCTTACAGACCACAGACATATATATATGTATATACATGTATGTAGATCGATGTAGATATAAACAACATGCAGACACATAACCCTGCTCCCCTTTTCTTTTTAAAGCAACATTATTGGGTGACTGTGCCTGTGGAAGCATTGGATCAAATCCAGAGACACGAACGAAGTGGCGTGTGGAGACACACCATTAAAAGGATTAAAAAAAAAAAAAAAAAGCAAAGGACCGTGAATACACAGAAAACAATCAACGCAAAAATTAAAAAAAAAAAAAAAGCAAAAGTTATCAACAAAATAGCACACTTGTAAATACCAACCTCATTGAAGTTAGTCTTCGTTCACGTGACAATGCACCCCTCATTTCCACGCGCCGTTCATCCACCACCTCAGTTATCGTTTTCTGCTTCACAGCTGACAGTAGCAACCTCTGCTTTCATCTGTCACGGGGGGCCCTTGTCTTCGTATCTCCCTCATGTGTGGTGGGCCGGAGGCGACGTTGGCACCACCGCAACCGCGTGCACACTGCACTGTCCGCCCCACCACACACAATTCCATTCACCCGCAAACCTCACAAGCAATTAGCAGCCACATGCTTCGCCTGCCCACAAATAAAAGCAGAAAATAAAATCAAAACCAATAAAAAAAAACAATAAATATTTATTTGCGTATAAATATCAATGTGAATTCTCTGCCGTCGCCTCCTGCATCGCGGCAGCAGCAACCCTCCAAGCAAGGGGCCACAGCAGCAAGCGTCAAAGACAGATGTAAGAGAGAAAGACACAAGCAAACAAAAATTAAGGAAATAAAACAGTGAAACGGACAATCTCCATTTCAACAAAAGTGCGGAGGGCGGTGAAAGTGCCCACCGATAATGCGAAAGTCGATACGCCCAACCAAGAGCCGCCACCACATCCTCGCATCACTGGGCACTCGCCAGTACTCTCTATTTAATCGTGGCAAAGGCAAACAGGCAAAAACGCAAGTTAAATCTACGCAACGTTTTTTTTTCCATTCTCGACCGCCCCTTCCCCACCGCAGCAAAATAGAAAGATAAAGAGCCTGCGCATGAAAGTGCCGCTAGCACAGCAACGTCGCACGTCCGGGTTCTCCATATCAGGCATTATCATGGCACGCCTATTAGCTCTACCAGATCCCAAACAAAAGCAGCAAGCTTATAATGGCACATACAACAACAATAACAAAAAAAAAAAACGCATCCTAAACGTAAATGTGTCCCTAGAGTGTGGCGGTGAGGTGCAGCCCGCAGCAACGTTGGATTTGCAATGCGTTCTTCCCAGGCCTCAAGAAAGTCTTACAAAAAAAAAAGAAAAAAAAGAGGTTAGCAGCACACTGGTCAGTCCTGTGCGCGTGCTCCTATCATCAAATATGCACGAAAACGGAAAGACAGCATCCGGGGTGCTTGGGTTTTGGAATACGCCAGCGAAGAAAACACACTAACAAATTTAAAAAATCTCCACTAAAACATTAAGAAAAAAAAAAGGGTGACCCCGCTGACACCTCACAAATCCGTATTGAACACAAAGCCCACAGACGGCCCAGACTAAACATCAACATACCCGCAAGGAACACGTCAAAAAATACAGACAAAATAAACACATAAAACTTGGTACGGAATAAAAAACAATTCCTAAAAGTTAGTCAGCCTCATCAATACCAAGAGTCTGCTGAATCTTTTGCATCCACGCATCTCGCTCGGGATCACCGCGTGCCTGAAAAAGAAGACGCCTTCCCGTTTTGAAGGCCACGGCAAACACATGCTGCGCATTCGACCCTGTGTACTTGCTTGCAACAGGGAACACGTCCTCCAACTCAGAGAATGGCGTCGTGATGCACTGCTGCCGCATTGTCTCCTTCGATACGGCCAACACAAGGTCCAGACTCTTGAATTTCGGCATCCTGCCCACATCCAGCCGCTCGCCCTCCTCGAGTGCCCCGCGGATGCACAAATACCGGCGCTTCCACGCGAGATCACCGCTCTGCTTCTTCACAATGCCTTCATACAGCGTAAGGTCCCCCACGCTCCCCATGGGGGTCGCCCCCTCCAGGATCGTCGTGGACGCGGCTGCAGCCGACTGAGACTCCTCCATTTGCCTCACAGTCACACGCCGCTCCTCCTTCAGTGACTGCTTCACGCTCTGAATGTGCGTGGATATCGTGTCACGTAGCGGGCCCGCAAAGGAGGGCTGCGTCTGCACAATCTCGAGCAGGCCAGAAACAAACAACTTGCAGATGGGCATGTTGAGCAGTTTGCTGCTCGAGGGACGGGCATGCGGATCCCCGCAGAGAAGCGACGTCACAACCTCCGTCATCTCGGGGCTAATCGTCGGTGGCAGCGGATCGTACCTCCCGGCTAGCGCCTTCTGCATCACCTCCTGCATATTCTCGCCATCAAACGGCCGCTTCAGTGTCAGCAGCTCATACAGCAACACCCCCAGGGAAAAGATATCGGCCTTCTTGCTGTACGGTTTCCGGCGCCATATCTCTGGCGCCACGTAGTACGGCGTGCCACAGAATGTCTTGCCGACATCGCCCGAGACCGTGGCGGAATACATTTTGCTGAATCCAAAGTCCCCGAGCTTCACAAGCCCGTTGCTGCAAAGAAGAATATTGGCTGTCTTGATGTCGCGGTGGATCATGTGCCGTGAGTGCACGTGGTGGATTGCAAGCAGGACCTGAATAAAAAGAAGGCCCGCCTCGTGCTCGCGAAACGCTCGAGCCGCCTTGGCACGGTTCTTGATCTCCTGGCGGAGGTCCCCGGCATTTGCGTAGTCAAGCACCAGTGCTACCATCAGAACATTCTCCTCGTCCGCAGGGTCCTTCTTTGCAAAGTCCTCGTGACACTTCAGGATTGAGAAGAAGTCGCAGTTCAGCAGACACTGTACCTCCGCCTGTGCGCGGTTCTTGTCGGCTTCCGACATGCCCTCCATTTCCACAACCTTCACGGCGAATGACTGTCCATCCGACCTACGCTTCGCACACAGCACGGTGCCCGTCGCACCGGAGCCCAGAACCCGGCTGATCCAGTACTTCTTCCCCTGCTCCTTCGCCGTCGCCTCGTCACTCGCGAATGCATCGCTGAAGGTGCGACACACGCGGGGAATCATCGCGTCCCCAGAAGGCATCTCCGATATCTCCAGTCAACAGTGCTGTGGCGTATGTATTTATCCTCTCTGCCAAGGTTTATCCTGTAGTGACTAATTGTGGAGAAAGCACTGTTCTCTAAACGGGTAACTAAAATAAAACGTTGGGAAACAGAGTAGCAGAAAAGATAAAGATGTAAAGAACAATAATTTAAACTTGTCAGGGTTGTAGAAACTAGAAAACTTTGTTATTTCCGCTTCGTTCAAGAGCCTTTGCCTCACCCCAAACAACTTTTTTTTTTTAAAGGTCAAAGCCAATATATGTCGCAACGACAACGGGGGGCGATTCGATGTTACATTTCCAGAAACAATTCACGGGAGTCAGCATTGCCAAGCACAATTAGAGTGGTTGTTTCCAAGTGGAGTTCCATTTGCGATCACAGCGGAAAATCTGTTTTTCCAGGCAAAGCCGCACAATTCCCACGTCATCCTTCACGGCCTTTTTTCCTCCCTCTCCTTCTTTCTGCCACGGCGACACGCTGATGCGAAGGTGGTAAAATTAATCCAATCCATCCTTTTCTTTTCACTGTGTGTGTGTGTGTTCCGCCAAATCTGCTTTAACAGAGGGCGTGGCTTGCTGTGATGCTCTCGGCCTCATTGAACACATCCGGAAATTCCCATTGCCGCCCACTGTGCTCCTTTGGATCCAACGTGCAGGACCACCTGTCCGCAGGAAAGGCCTGAGGCTACATCCACTCCCTGGACGCAGTGCCACCGAACACCAAGGCGTTCACTCCGGGGCTGAATGATTCCCAAAAACGTACTTCCCGTCCAGTGTAGATGTCGTCATAAAAAAGAAAAAAAAAAAAATTGGGAAAAAAGTCGGGAAAATTAAAAGAAAAGATATTCCACAAAAAAATAAATAAATAAATAAATAAATAAAGAAAAAATATTTCGGTTTTTTTCTTCTCTTTTCCCCGCATTGAACCGCGCGGTTTCTTTACGTGTTTGCCCTTGCAGAGGCAGAAGGCGCGGGGCCGTTGCACCAGTGCGGAATAGAGCGGTAACGGCAGTGATCCCGATCTGTAGATGGGCGGTTCTCCTCATTGTCTTCCCCTTTTTTCACCGCTCCCTCATGCACACAAAAAAGAAAAAAGTGGTCACACACGCATATAAAAACAACAGCAAGAAAAAAAAAAAGAGCCTTCAAAAAAGAAAAAAGAAAAAGGGGAGAGGGGGGCTAAAACGTAAAAAAGACAAATGCAGAAAAAAAAAGAAAAAAGAAAGAAAAAAAAAAAAGAGAAAAGACAAATAAATCATTGACGTGCCATAAGCATCCCCCACAACCCGCCGCCTTCCACTTGAAATTCGTGAAAGGCAATAAATACATGGAGCATACGTATAAAAATAATCTCCGCAGTAAAGAAGTAAAAGAATAAGCCATTTGCAACATTCATTGGTTTCCCTCCATCCTCTATTCGTTCTTTTCACAGTTCCTTCAATCATTTCTATGGTTGATTATCCTTTTCACATACACGCACGCACGCACACACACACATGTAGCATACATATAACAAAACGATTTGTGACATCCACTCGCCAACAATGATGTCTGTACGCGCCCTCATCCACTGACAATGCAAAATAATAGTGACAATAATAAACTCCAATAATAAAAACTTATCGAGGGTAAGAGTGCGGTGTCGCTCCCAGGTAAGCGGTGAGGTCATGCGTTGTTTGGCGTACTCGACTCAGAAGCAAAACAAAACAAAATACACTTCGAGGCTTTTTCGCCTTCCAAGGAAAAATAACTACCGATATCCTCCTGCTGGGGTTTTGACGACTCATATTGGAACCAGTGCCTCGTAAAACGCGCAGGCCATATTCTTGGAAGAACACCTCTACGCCAACCCGTTATTGTGCTGAATGGAGGCAAGGCAGAAAGATATCCATCGCTGTCTCTCTTCTTCAGAGGAGGCTTGAAAGAATATCGTTTTCCCCGTCCTGCTAAGCAATGCAAAAACATATTTTGCCCCATCCATGGCGTACCGCTCAAGAACCTCAAAACAGTCAATAAACGAGCTCACACATGTACGAGTGCTCTCGGCTGAGTCCTTTTTAAGCGACAATATCAGTTCAATAACCCCAGAATGCGCTGACTCTTGCTGTGGACTCATATCAGTTGAGTCTGTTGCCCAACGCAGGCACAAATGGCGCAACTTCCAGCAGCCACTATTTTCCTTCAGTATTTCACCCTCAATAAGTACCTGTGACGTCTTCCTTGTCAGCGCATTCAGCTTTGACAACTGCAACCTTATTTGGCTTGCCCTACTCGACAATGTTACTGCCTTATAAAGAATTCGTCGATACACCCAGGATAAATCCAGCAGTACTTTCTCTCGTTCGCACGATAAGAGACGGCAGTATACAGTCGCCTTTTCACCTGACTGACGAGTGCTGTCTGCGAAGTTATCGCTAACGCTGCCGTTCCCTATTTCCCTCCCACGTCGCAGAGTATCATTCATGCCATCCATAATCACGGACTTCAGAAAACTCGCCAATGTGTTTCGCATCAGCGGTAACAATAACACATCCATAGCAGAAGGACGAAGATCGGGTTCTTTTTGCAACATTGCAAGCACGATGCTGGCAATTTCAGGTGAAACATGAGACGGTATCTTCGGCTCTTGTTTTAATATATTTTGCCTAACTTCATTTTTATCTTTTCCAACAAATGGTTTTCTCAGTGTAAAAATCTCGTACAACAGTACCCCCAAGGAAAAAATATCCGCCTTCCCACCGTACGGCTTACGCTCCCACATTTCAGGCGTGATATAAGACGCCGTGCCCACAAACGATCCATTTCTCTTCTCGTTGACATCACCCGGCGTGAATTTGCTCAGCCCAAAGTCACCCAGTTTCACTAACCCGTTGCTGCAAAGAAACACGTTTCCCGCTTTGATGTCACGGTGAATGATCCCCTTGTCGTGTAGGTAGTCCACTGCCAAAAGAACTTGTTCAAAAATCAATAATGCATTACGTTCAGAGAAGAGTTTGTAGTCATTCTTCACACGCAGCCGAATCTCTTGAGAAAGATCACCGTTGTTGGCATATTCCATCTCCAACACATGTGCAGTGATGGGATTCTTCACCGGGTGTGGCGGGGCCTCTGGGCACAGGCGGCGCGTGTAGACACCATAGAACTGTGGGATTGAGAAAAAATTGCAGGACTGATGGCACTGGATTTCCCTATTGGCAAGTTCCCGAAGTTTTTTGTCTTCTTTCCCCAATTCTATAAATTTTACGACGATGCACTGTTGCTGCCGAAGGGGCGGGGAAGTAATCGCGGCCGAAGAAACACTACAAGGACGAGACGACGAAGAAACCCCAACCTCACTATTCATGTGTAAAGGCGGAAGCTGGCTGCCTTCCTTCTGTATGTCACTTCGCTGCGTTGAGCCTCTGGTAGCCAAAAAAATAGTGCTGAATGCACTGCTATTAAGCGCCCGAACAAGTTGCACCTGTGAGACAAAACTGTCCTCTAAACCGGCTGGCACCGTCTTGTCGTTCAGCGAGCCAATGAGCTGGAATGCATCCCGGCTGCCTCGCTCACAAATCTCCTCTTCCGCCTTCGGAGAAGGCGTACCAGTTTTGGTGCTGTAGGCGGGGGAAACGGCGTAAAAGGGGAAGAGAAGAACGCACCGCTCCATCCGCTGCTGGCTTGAGACGCACTGACGGGAATTTAACAATACTTCACGGAGATTCAGCATCAGGGGCGTTGGGGTAAATAGCAGCGGTCTTCCACCCCGCTCGCCGTGTCTACTGGGTCCACCAATTCTCCAAGGCGCCTGCAATACTTATGTATGTATTATATGTATTTATATATACATAAATATATAAATATATATATATAATATATATCTTTCCCTCTTGAGTTGTGCAGTACAACTAATGCCTTCGTTGCGTGCTCACTCCACTTTTCTTTGACAGTTCAATTTATGCACCGCCTGGGTCCGATGTCTTTCAAATGCTAAGCGCATTCAGAGACAAAAAAAATACAAATAAAAAAAACAGAGGGGGGAAAAAAAAAGATAAACGAACGGTTTCAAATTGTATGCACGCGGGTCATGTGCCGCCATGAGAGAATTTTTGTTGGGGCTGCTTCATCATGCAAGGAAAAAAAAAAAACAATTCACGGAATGCAGCAGTCAAAGCAGCAGTGACAACAAGCCAAACAAAATAATACACAGAAAGCCAAGGCATGACCGAGTAAAATAACATAAAAAACGCCATCATCGGTCACCTTGTCGTCGTATTCGCAGAGAAATAGTGACAGGAAGAAGGAAGAGTGATTAAAAGACTTATCATTGTCTGCGTGCATGCATGTGGAAGTTTGTCTGTGCGTGCTGCAACACTCCCACCACACACTTCTGCAACGCACGCCACACCCTGCCGCCAATTAACAATGGCTCCCCGCGGCGATTTACATGTCATGACCCCGGAAATGTACATACATTTCCTCCACATCATCGCCAATGGGATTCTCTTGTCTCCTACCCGACAAACGTCTCCGATGCTGTTTTTGGACTTCTCTTACGGGACAAAGCAGCCCCTCCCCGACAATTCCCTCAGCACACGTACCAATTTGGAAGCTTACCGCAAAAAAACACAACCCCAAATGTACACAGAGTGAGTGAGAGAGAAAAAAAGAGAAATATCAAGCATAAACTACAATAACTTCTTATTTTCCCTCGGACCGCCACAATTCTTCCCCCTCCCTTCCCTCCTGCGGTTGGGGCCAGTTGGTTCCAATAGCCACATCATCTTTCGACAGCTGCATCGCGCCGGGCATCACCGCGCTTTCTGCGTGGAAAGCCGTATTAAAGGGATCTCCGGCCTTTGCACAGGCATCAAAAGCATACTGGGGGCCATTTTTTTTTAGCTTTGTGCACAATTTCGCCTTGACAACTCCAAAATCCCCAATGGTTGGCTGCTTTCCATCGCGCTGCATCTTCAGGTCATGCCAACACTCCCAGAAGAGGAACAAGCAACCAACATGGTACTCGCAACAGATAAAAAGAAGTGGGAATTCACGCCCTAATGCCTTCTCACTATCGCTTATAATGGGAAGACGACTTGCCCTTGTTTTATTGTAGAAAAGAGCCTGAGCCCGACGTGTTATTTCTGTATAGAACCCACTATCCTTCAGCATGTCAAGAATCACGGCTGAAAAATTAAACCCCACAAGCACAAACGGAAGCTCCTCGTACACAAGTAACCCACTGCCGCCATTTGTGCAGGTATTCCACAACAACATCGCAAAATCCCTATAATACTCAATCAGGTAAACAAGCTGCAGTAGACCAAGAATACCTGTAAAGCGAAGGTCTGTTGCTGGATCACTGCCTTGAAACCCTAACACTTCCCAGTCAATCGCACCGGGACGAGTGCCACCATTGATAGACCCATTCTTCGTCTGGCGAAACAAATTGTGGTAAATGGTGATTAGTAATCGTCGGTGAATGGAGTAGCTGTGGTCAAATGGCACAAAGGGTAGTGTCAGAGTAAATTCCGTGTCATGGTGCAATATGGAGTCCGGATCTGAACTAACAATGCCATCTCTCGAATAAGAGTGTCTACACCAACAAAAGATGTCTCTAAGGCGCTCAATAAGCGAGATGAGGCAGTTGCTCTTTTTGTTTTCACTAAATCTGTGTGCCGAAACATAGGGCTCCCAGGTATATCTGTCATTTTTAAGCAATCGTACAGCATCCAAGAAACTTATGTTTTCCTGTTGGTCATTAATACAAGGTACACTGGAAATGTTGCTGTTTACCCGTTGTTGCTCCGTCTCATGGTTGACCCAATCCCAATCAACGGCAATACGCTGCTGAGCGTTGCTTTTTTCAAGCCCACCATTCTTTTTTGTATTCACAATGCGAGTCTCATCAGATGCTGACATGATGGCTGGTGACATCGCCTCCCGCACGGAAAATTCATCCGAGTCATTTCCCTCATTTTCCAATACAACAATTGCGCCGTCAGGAGGACGCTGCGAAATGACTGACGAGGACCGTGACGTGTTGCCTCCAGAACTGTGTGGCTTGTGATGCTTGCGGTACTCTAAAAGCACGGCATTCGTGGAGAGAGTCGACACGATGGAGGGGCGAAGCATGCATGAAGGGTTGGTGACGGCAGCAAAAGCCTCTTCACTAGACAATTCGAAAGGCCCGCGCAATGCAAAATATATATATATATATATATTAAAAATAAAAAAGATTTATATAAAAAAGGGGGAAAAAAGACAAAACAACAACAACGAAATATCCAAAGAGAGAGAGAAAAGAATACACGCACAGAAATAAACAAACATAAAAGAAATCACATTGAAAGCAAGAAAATAAATAAATAAAACAACAAATTACACGTGAGAGTCAAAAGAATACACACGGATAATACATACATCCATGAGTGCAAATACAAAGAGAACAAAAAAAAAAGAGTAAATGAGGTGGTGAAGGAGAAACGGAAAAGCCCAGGGTGTAAAACATTTACATACATTAAAAAATAATAATAATTATTATTTTTTTTTCCTTTTTTCTCTTCCTCCCTTCACTCACCTTCCTCTTCTCTCTTGTAGGGATGCACTCCATTTGCTCTTGCTGGATATTATTGGAACCCCACTCCCAACCATGTGGATGACGCCCTTCCACATTTGTTCTTCTGTACATGGGCCGCACTTACCTCCCTTCACGGCATACCGCTGCCATTTTTTGCACGTTGGGATTCCACTGCCCGGGCGGCAGATCCCGCGGGCAAAATGTTGCCTCCCACAAAATTCCACGTCCCACGCTTCTTTTTGAACAAACGCAGCGCCCGCGGAATCTCCTCTGAAGATACAGGCACGGAATCAATTGTAAGTAATTGCCGTAAAATGCTAATAACACGAAATCGATGCTGTTCAATGAGCGGGAGCCGTTCCAACTCGCGAAACCCATCGACATCCCATTCCTCAAGTCTGCGAGACAACATAGTGACGTCCTTGACGAGATTTCTGGCAGAGGGCACCACCATAGAAGAGACTAGTTTATTACTGGCCTCAGCACCTGTCAATGAGTCAAATAGGACAGAACGCTTACCTGCAGAAAAGTCTATATCCGCTGAAACCTGGAATTCCGAATACTCCGGTATTGACTTGGTGAGGGAGCTGCTCGCAGGCCTCCGCAGAATGGGGTTTCCTGCTATCGTTAGATGCCGGAGGTTAATGAGCCCTGACAGCGTCTCCAGCTCCTCCCATGATTCAATTCCATTATTCGCCAGTCGAAGATAAACCAGTTCTCGCAAAATATCAAAACCGTGGAGACTCTTAATATTGTTGTGTTCCAAATCCAAACTCTCCAGATTGTTAGCAAGGTGCATCACGAACTGCACCTTTTCCAACGCGTTATGTGAAAGATTAAGAAAACGCACAGTAAAACAACCGGCAAATGTATCCAGTTGTACACGCTGAATTTGGTTGGACATCAGATTAAGCCGTGTAAGGCTATGAAGCATGGAGAAGTCTTCGTTACGTAACTCTGTCACCTGATTTTCTTCCGCATAAAAGTCTATAAGAAACGGCAGAAGACGCAGTCCTCGAAGGCTTGCTAGACGATTTCTGCTGAGGTTCAGTCTCTCCAAGGTGGTGCCGGATGGTGCAAGATCATCAAAAACCTCATCGGTAAGGTTGTTATTTGCTGCCGAGAGATACACGAGGGAACGAAGCTCTCGCAGGGGTGTGAGTGAGTCAAGCATGTTGTCGTCGAGAGAGATACGTTGCAGGTGTTTGTATGCTCCAAGCAGCTCAATGGATGTGAGGCGAAGCGACGAGAGGTTGGATCTGGCGTAGACAAGATGCCCCATCTCATTGTGGGTAAGGACATCCAAAGATGCCATCATAACATCCGCCGCAAGCGGGTTTTCCTCCGCATCCATTCGATGCCCGCTCTTTCGTGCCGACAACGACGAGTCGCTTCTACGCACCTGCGCAAGAGAATCTGTCGGTTGTTGTGTTGGGGTGGAGTTCCCCCACGAACTCGCCCTTCGCCAAAAAGCCACCGGCTGCAGACACCCACCAAACGACAGGCAAAGGTAAAAGCACAAGGAGAGAAGACACGAAGTTGCGTGTATGTAAGGGGGGGAACAATCAAAAAATAAACAAAAAGAAGCTTCAAGCAGTGTGTGTGTGTGTGTGTGGAAAACCAAGCCACACAGGAGAAGGGGCGACCAAAACAACAAGAATAACAATAACAAAAAAAAAGGTCTTTTACAGCAACAACGATTTCGTCAGGAACACGGAAGAAGGAGGGAAAAAAAAGAAGATGACAAAAACAAAGAAGACGAGATATGAAAAAATAACGAGGCAGCCACACGCATACATGCAACGCGACTGCGCATCACTATTCGGATTGCTTTTTCCTATAAAACCTCGCAAACATCCACCGCCGGAGTTGTGAGAGAGACGTAGTCCATGGGGGGAAAACTAACAGCCATATAAATAAAAGGAAAGAAAAAACCAACGCGATGCGAAAGCAACAGACCACAGGCGTCTAACCTACACCACCTTCCCTTCCCACCTCCCTTCTATTTGCTCTACCAAAATTACACTGGCATGGAATGATGATCTTCAAAAAAAAAAACATCGGCCACATTCACTGAATCGCCGCCGCCTCAATGAGAACCAGCCAAAGATAAAACCAAAACACGCGTACGAACTTCTAAGCCAGAAAAACATGAAAGTGAAAAACAACAACAAGAAAAAAAAAAGGACATGAAGAAACATAATCATCTGCCATCCTCTCTCCCTTAAATTTCACATGTTCCCTGTCAATAATAAATTCTACATCCCCCTCCCCCCATTATAATTCCAGCAGATCAGCTTTCCCATCCATCTATTTTGGGTCTTTCTTCCTTTTCCTTGACTATTCCTCTTTTAAATATTTCCCCCTCTTTGCGCGGTCTCGTCTTTCTTGGCCCATACCCTTTTTTTTCTCTACGAATGTTGCGGTGATAACAAAGAGCGAAGCTCGTTGACAATGAGACTGCGCTGTGTGACCTTGTCTGACCCTACCGGAGGTGGCCGCCGCTTCGACGCGCCAGTTGGGCGCGACGTCGGCACATCGACTACTGTTCCCGCCGCCGCCATGTCACGCTGAGCTTCTTTAATGAGTTGAATCTGCTCCTTCTTGCGATCCATGAGTTTTGCGAGGCGATTCAACGCTGCGGCAACGACTTCCGCAGAGATCTCTTCGGCGGCCGCCCGCTCCACAGTCTCCTTGTACTGCTGGTGAAGGCTCTTCAGTTCGCTCTCCAGTTCCTGACAAACTTCCGCCATGGCACCATTCTGCCTCCCCCCCAATGGGACTGAGGGCTGCGTCCGTGCCGCCGATTCCGTCGCATACGAGACCGGCCTTGCAACTTCACCAGCAAAGCTGTTATCGACTACTTGGGTTCCGTTCTCCTTGCGAACATCGCGCTGGATAGAGGAATATGTCGGGTCACGGTACGTGTGCCGAGCACTGCTGGAACGAACAATGGAAGTTGGGCGGCTATCCATTTGATGAGGCTCAGAAATTCGGCGCGAGTAACCAGTTCGATTCGCTAGGTTCACCGCAGCGCTGCTGTGAGTTCTACCACGACGACTACGACGTTTGCCTCCTTCTGCCGTCAGCCGGCTAGTGTCACCACTTCGTAAAAGTGTCCGGTTTACCCCACGTCCCGATTGAATCCGCATAAGCTCCTGTATTGCCTGCTCTAAGTGATGGTTGGTGTCGAGTGCCGCCTCCTTCTCGGCCCGGAGTTCTTCGATTGATGAAAGAAGCGCACGGTATCTTTTTTGTTGCTCCTCTAACTCTTGACGCAACTTGTCCACCTCGCTAGCCAACGCATTCTCACGCTTTTGTGCAGCGTCACACTCCTTAATAAGCATCTCCTCTAGTTCCGTTCGAAACGTCCCCAAGTCTTTCCGACTTTCTTCCAAAGTATTTTGGAGCTTTGTTTTCTCCGTGGTGGCCCGCTGCACCATCTCCTGCAAGTCTTTTTCACGTTGCCGATGATGTGTACGTTCCCGCTCCAGCTGATGCTCCATGTCCTGTTTGTAGGCCTCGTGTGCCTGCAGGGCTCTTTCGTACTGATCCTGATGGTGATTGCGGTCTTGTTCCAGGCGGCGTATCTTGTCTTGCAGGGCCTGGAGTGCAAGAACAATGGACTTTGTGTCCCCCACACTCATGCTTAGCCCAGAGCGCTGCAGGCTACTCGTGTTGCTCTCGATCGATTGGTTCACGGAGGCCATGCGGAGAGATTAAAACTCTTCTCTTTTCGTTCCTCTGGTCCATTTCGCGGTCAATAAAGCCAAATAAAAGGAGTGGGTGTGCGAGCAGAGAGGTGATAGGTAAAGAAGAGAAAAAAAATAATAATCAAACAACGCCAGGGGAGAAAGGAGAAGAGGAGAAAAACAAAGGGATACTAGTAAGAAGGCCATCACACATACAAGAAGCATGAGCCGTGTAAAGTTGGCAATAACCGCAAAATGACGTATTTTTTTTCGAAGTGTGTTCCCTGCACTTCCATTGACGGGTGTCCATCGCACCTCTTCCCTCTCACATTCCCATTGTCATTCTCTTATCGGTAAAAATCAGTAATAAGAAAAAGGACAAAGCAAACAGAAACAAGACAATTACAATAAAACATGTACCAAACCACAAGAAGAAGCGTTGTGTTCATCCCACCGATTCCCCCAATGAGCTAAAAATAATAAAATAAAAAAGGTAAATTAAATTTCTTTTCTTTCTTTTTTTTTTTTTTTAAACCTTCTTCTGTGCATATTTGTTTTTCATTGATTTGCTTTTACTTCAAGACGCTATTCACCCACACAATTCTCTCTCTCTATTTTTCTACGTGTAGGATATAATAAATTAATAAATAAATATATTTGTTGCCAATTCTCCGCAGCGTCTCTCTCCCTCTCCCACTCCCTCTTTCTTCACCCCTCAGTTGCTTCCGTACAAATAAATTATTGTCCAGAGCAGACACGCAAAAACTCTGCAATGGTGTCACGCTGTGCGGCTATGGACTCGATCGAGTTCTGGAACTCACGTTGTTCCATGGCATCATCGAAGAGTTGCCGCATCTCCTGCTCCCGTCGTGTCGTTATGTCAAGCAAAAGACTTGCCCGTCCATTTTTAGAAAGGTGGGAACCCGTAGAGGCTCTGCCGCTCCGTCTCGTTGCGGCCGTTGACGTAAGATCCTCCGCATCCGCATACAGGTAATCCACGCAGAGCAAACAGCCCCGAAGCATCGATCGCACCTCCTCGGTGACGGGAGACTCACGGATGTACGGCAGAACCCCCTCAGCGGTTGACAGGAGACTCTCCAAAAAAGGGACCAACGCAAATTTAAAAACAGCAAGCTTCAGTGCGTATGCCGTTTGCGCCTCCGCCTCTTCTGAGGCAGCCTCAATGGCGTCAAACCACGGGTCCTCCAAATCCAAGACGCTGTCCGATCCAACGTCCCCTCTAAAAGAAATCAGCTCCTGACGAAGACCATAAATCTGACGGATAATGGCATACATGTCCAGGAAAACCCCGTTACTCTCTGGAACTCTCGGGCGAGAAGTGGAACTCCTCCGCATGGATTGCACAGAAGATGGTGAGAAAATTTTTGTGACACCCGTGCTATTTAAAGGGCTCACGCTCCGGCAAAGGGCGGGGAGCGATGGGGGACGTGCTGTCGGAGCCAACAAAGACCTCCACATGAACCAATATCGCTGACGCCGGTTGCGATCACCCATAAAGTTGGCAAACCTTTCTCTGAGAGAAGTTCTTACCTGCGCCTGCAAACACCTTGCAAACCAGGTTTCCAGACGACAAGTTCGGCGCTTTTGCACCGACACACGCCACTTTGTGAAGTACTCACCCCTGAGTCTCATTTCAAAATTCAACGACACCGCATTTGTCACCTTTGAAAGTTGCTTCATCCCCCGCTGCCGCAATTGTCGCAGAACGTACTGACGAGGGAAGTATTCCCGGTGATGTGCCCAGGACCAAAAGATTTTACGTGCGGCGTGCAAGACACCAAATGTCGCACACCGTCCAATCAGAGACCCTATCCGAAAGGAAGCCCCATTGAAGAGGGCGTTGTAATGATCCCTTTGCGCCTGACGCACTGTCAACGCGTGCTGACGACAAGCCCTCAACTTTTCTAACAAAACGCTCAGGCCAATCTCACGGTTCTTTGCATGTTTATCGAGCGCGTCCTTGCCTTCAATAATTGTGAGGTGCACCCGAACTGTCTCTGAAGCAGGCGTAGACAGTTCGCGCTCAGAGTCCAGCTCATGCACCAAAGACGTTCGCATAAGTTCGAACTGCTGCAGAAGGGAAATGGGCCGGAACCCCGTAAAGTATCCGGGTCGATGCTTTCTAAACGATTTATGCGAGTCCAAATAAATCGGCCGACGCCCAAACAGTGCCATTTCGCGCTGTGTGCGTTTCCATTCCGCCGCATTCGGGGGCCCAATTGCCTCATCCGCGGAAGGGCCTTTGACACGTGTAATGATAGATTTTGTCTCGGTTGAAAACACGGAAAGAAGTCCATGGTTCCGTGCCACCCAGAGTTGACGTCTCGGGTGATCGATAAATAAGCGCACAATGGGTTGTGAATGCATCTCTAGAACATGTCTTCGAAAGACTATGTCAAAATTAAACGGAGTCCTTCCCACAATTACACCCTCCTCTTCCAATCGGCCGGGGCCAACTCGTTGCTCTAACACATCTACGCGTGCTTTGGGCGAACACTGCATATTCATAAGTGTTCTCTCAACAGAGACGTAGAATTGAATCCGCTCAAACACACAAAAGAGGGCACGCTCCTCGGTTAAAGAATAAAAGCTGTTGGCTAACTCCCGGCGTCGAATTTCCTCCTTGGTAGGCTGTTCCAGGAGAGAATAATGAGGTTCCGGTGGGTCCGGCAAACGGCGCATCGTCACGGTAATGATAGGAGGAAGATCCACGGCAATGCCTGTTACAGTAACCCCATCTATAAGAGAAATGTGAAATTTTGCATTACGACTGTACATGTCGTTGATATATCGGTGACCTCCTATCCACTCTTTAAACTCCGCTTCCTTATCTGCACGAGCGGAATGTGTGGCGTCGTATGGTGAAGGGTGTCGGGTTGGACTACGACGGCCAGATGAGGGGGATGAACCCGAGTTAGAGATTCTGGGAGAGTTCCACTGCACTGTCCAGTTGGTTTCTATTTCAGGCATACCCCGTGGAACCCTAAAAGGGCTCCTGTTTGCACTACTCTCACATGGATGCATATTTAACGATTTGTTCATGCAAGCGGTCGAAAAGTACCCACTATCACCAGTCCTCGTTTTCTTGACGTCAGAAACGCCCTCCAAGCCCCTGGAAGGTCTCTGTCGCGGAAATTTGGAGGTTCTTCGGAGGAGCTGCTTCTCAGTTGTCCGCGGTGTTCTTCGACCCGTGGCAAGTGGAGTCAAATTGCTGCGTGGCGACCTCACAGATTGACAGAGAGAATTCTTCGCCTGTGGTGAGGTGCGAAAACAATTATTGCCTTGTCTTACTCCTTTTGCAGAACTTAAGCCACGGCCCCCCATTCTAACCGGTGCGGCCAAATTATTGCCTTTTTTGGCCCTGTCAGCTGTAACAGAAGACATCGGGGACAAATGAGGGGCCCGTAGGGTAGTTATATTTGATTGTTTCCCTAACTGCACGCCGGGCTTATTTAAAGACGGAGGTTTACTGACGCGTCTAGTCGGAGTTTTCACCCCCTTATCCGCGGCCGTGTTTCGGGCCTTTACATGCTTCTTTACGTCACCTGGGGTACGTGGTGAGGGGACGGATGATGACTGTTGTTCCTTGCCGGCCGCTTCGCTTCCTGCGTCTTTATTCGGCCTTTTTCCTTTAGTGTCACGCTCCGTATGAACACGAGGAGAAAATTCTCGGCGCCGGGATGTCAACTTCCCTCCGTCATTTATTCTCTCTACGGAGCCGCGCGCCGACGTTACAGCGGGCTCCGCCGGGTGCCTCCTGCTTGAATTCAAAGAAAGGTCAAGGCTGCGCAAGGGACTCTGCCCGGCGCGGGAATCACGTGAAGCGGAAGCCGTGCGAGAGGTAGAGCACATGGAATGAATCTCGCTCGTTTCCCTCTCAAGTTCTTCGTCCAAATTCCAGAAGTGGACGGTCCCATGAACATCACCAGCAATGATGAGGTTGACACGCCTGCGCTGATTGGGCTCAGGTGCAAGGGGCGGCATCAGTTGCTCTAGTTCCTTCTCCACCTCTCGCATATTCTCCTCTGATAGTCGAAGCATCACGCGATGCTCCTCGCGCTTCTCCCAGCGAGTTGTTTGCTGAATAGCGCGGCGATTCTTGATGAGCTCCGAGGCTGTATCTTCCTTTGGGTCGCGTGTCATGGCCACCACGTCACGGCCTTTTTGATATCCCACAGTTGTCACTGCGGAGGAGACCCAGTTGAGTGTCCGTAGCCCACCGACACCGCCCTTCAGTCGGAGTAGTGGCCGCACCTTCACTAGCGCGTAGGTTGAGCGCACGGTGTAGCCGTGCTGATCCGTCGTGGGCTGGACATTAAACGTCACTACATCGCCCCCCAACGATACCAATGACGGCTCAACACCAAAACCTCCCATCCTTGTATTCTGTGATAACGCCCGCATCGCCTCCAAACGACGATAAATTTTTCGTACATCCCACACCACCACGCAGGAATCCTCCGACGCTGTGCATACAAGGGAGAGATGCTCACGATCTTCTCGGCACCCACGCGACGTCGCGGCGGTAAGCTCAAAAATAGAGCTACTCAAACGATTTGCAGTGACTAAATCGGTTGTCCCACTATCATCGTGGCAGGGACTACGCGTTATGGCAATGACAGCCCCCTTATGTTGTCTTGGTAACTCGTACACCAGGTCGGCCAATTGACCTCTCGCCAGCAGCACCGATCGATCCTGTTCCCGCACCCATCGAGAATCAGCTGGAAATAAACGAATGGAACCATCCATAAATCCCACCCACACATAATCGGTATTAATCAATGAGGACTCCCGCACTAAAAGAATATCTTGCGGATTCTCAATCGGAATTACTTCAAGTCGCCTGTTGATAAACCCACGAAATGGGGCATGCAACATTGAGGCCACCATAACACCTTGTTTTGGCTCCAAAATGCACATAAGCTTCGCACCAGAAAGAGCATCAATGACTGTTATTCCGCCCTCAACAGAGTTCTCAACCTTCCATATGGTGGGTCTTGGCACACGGTGTCCTTGTGTCTCACCGTCATATTGTCTGTTTGGCGAGACAGGGTCATCCGCGCGTCGAACATAGGAATGGCCCTGCTCGTGTAGTGTATTTAAACGTCTCAAGGCGCTCTTGACATCATTCAGGCGTGGCAAGGTGCGCACGTAACAAACCAAACGCGCTTGGAAGTTATCCGAGTTTAGCGGGGATGCCGAATCACATGTAAGCACAATCTGATCCCTACTCTTGACGGCCGTTTCTCGAAGCTCCTCCCAGCTCTCACTCCAGCACCGCGGGTTCCTCACGAGTGACGGAGAAGGTGCCACGATGGTCAGCGTCATAGGCGCCTCGCAGCAAAAAAAAAAAATTTAAATAAAAAAAGACCAATCCACCGAACAGTTTCACCGGACCCAATACCCCAGTTCCCCCTTCTCCCCTCAAATATCCGCTAGATGAGGCCACTAAACTGTAAAAAAAAAAAAACATCAAAAGGGGGAAAAAGCAAAAAAAAAAAAAAAAAACAGAGAAGCATACGTGCCAAATGAGCCCCGGACGTGAGCAGCAGTAATGTGTAGAGGTTGAGATGCATAACAAGATATCGTCTCACCGTCACGCTCCAATCTCCTTTAAAATTTTCTTCTTTTTTTCCTTCTCTCTTTCTCTCTGAATTGATAGCGAATGTTAGCTACCACTCTCTGCTTTCCTTTTCTCCATGTCTCTTCCTTTTCAGTTTTTTGATTTTCCTCCCTTCTGTTCATTCCCTCCTTCTCTTCCCTCAACTCTATGGTCTTTCTTTTACTCAATAGTCCCCGTTGGGAGTTCTGATCCTTCACTTTCTCTATGGATAAACTAACTGTCGTCTGTGCTCTTCCTTGGAGGAAGGAAGGTGGCTGGGCGCGATTGGCTTGCGGCGGCGCTGATGAGACGTGTTGACGTTCTAATCGTACTCCTGCGTGGCGATAAAAACCTCATCATTATCGAAGTCGGCCGCCAACGAAGAGAGAACTGTTTCCTGGGTCGCTGTGGGCGGAGCTGCTTCTGTCGCCGCCGCCGCCTTTGCATGCGACCGCTCTAAGCCTCTTGTTGGTCGAGCACGCGTCGCCTCCATCGACTCGGAGATTGACGATGCCATACTCGGCACCACCTCCTCCTTATCAGGACGTACACGCCACCCGTCCTCAGTGAGCACGCGACGGGACGCCACCGGTGCCTTCCCCGCAGTGCGGCGGCCGGATCGGGACCTTGAATTGACTTTACTTGGCGATGTAAACATATTCTCTTCTTCTTTTCCTTCTTCCGTTGCTTCTCGCTGTGACTTACGCGGTTGGAGTGTGTGCTCCCCGCTGGCCTCCATAATTTCCGACATCTCTTCTTCCCGCACCCGCTTGGCACGCCGCACGGGAGTCGTAGCGCCCTCGGCCTCCTCCAACCGCGCGGCCCGACGGATGGCCGAAATGAAGAGCTGTGCGTTTTGATCGGTGCTCTTCGCCAGGGTCTCATTTGCTGCCAGCGCATGCGCCAAACTCAGTGCATCCATCTTGAGGAGTTTCGGGCAATAGGCAACAACGGCCTGTAGCATCGCCGGGTCCGTGGTTGTGGCAAACTCTATGCCAAAACGGACCATGTTGACACATGCCGCGTAGTACTTATCGGGAAGAGGCCAGTGCATGGATGAGAGTTTCATTCCCATCTGGTAAAGCGCATCCGAAGAGTGGTGGTACGCCGCAATAAGAATAGACTTCTCAAGTGTAAAACTGTCATTGCAGCGATCACGCAGGGAACGAAACAAAAATCTAAAGACGTCGGAAACAGACTTGGTGGGGGCATGTAGCCACTGCAGAAATACACGAGGAGCCACATCCTCCGAAAGGCGATTGAGCATCAACAGACGCGCGACACCCGTTGCCACACGCAACTGGGACGCCTCAAGACGTGATACTTCTCGACGTGACCGTGCGACTTCACTGAGCGCGCCTCCCTCGCGAAAAAGCTCCCCGGCGTTTTTGAGTTTCTCCTTCGCTTCATGCATTTCTTTGCTCAAAACACTTGACAACTCACTGAATTTTCCCAGAAATACGTCCTGCTCCATCTGAGACATCGTGTAGCATCGCAACGCACAGAGATCGCAGAGATAAACCATACCATCCACGGGAAGCAAGGTAAAGTTTTCAGTTTGTCTCTGCGAGTCCATTTCCCATACTTTGAAGATGCACGTTACCAATTCTCCAATCATTTGGCTGGCTGTCGTAGCGGCCTCCAAAGAATCCGCCGCTTCCTGTTCCACCTTTAACTGCCACAAAACACACCGCATGCAGGTGGATAAAATCAACCGCAGCAGCTCTGGTGAGGTGCTCGAGTTGGTGTACCTCAGAATAGATGCCTTCAATAAATCCCATTGATCCACCAGCGAAACAATGGAGGATAGAATACTCATTCGGCCCCACACATGAAACAGTTCCTTTTCCTCCAATTGACTCTCGGACCTCTTTTTCCCCTTCTGCAATGCAGAGAGTTGCTTCAAGACCTGCTTCAACAGTTCCTGTATCTGGCCCTTCGCCGCACTCTTCAGAGGATGATCCTCAACAACAAAGCCAAGCCATGCACACGTTATCTGGTTAAGATGTGCCTCCTCACAGCGCGGCAGTGCGGCAGTGGCTTTGCGCATCAGTGTCATGAGTGCATTGATCCGTGCCACCTGCTCCAAAGAAGTAAACGCCTTGAACTCCATCGCTGCAATCACCGCAGAAACACCAGACAAAATTGCCACATCACCGCGATGTTTTTCAAGAACTCCATCCAATAAAACACCCACATCGCGACTTAGGGACGTAACAAGTGCGTCAATGACCTCTTGCTTGTTCGGTGGAAGTTTTTTAACGATGCCCTGACGGCGGTCCTCCTTTGGAAGGGGTCCGAGGTACAACTTACAGCGCAACTTTTCAAGTAACGCGGCTACAAAGCCCAATCCCACCACCACCTCCAAAGCATCATCTGACAAAACAAAATCCAACATTGAGCCGTAGTTCTCCAAGAAAGGAGGCAGCTCTTGAAGAGGATTGTAAAGGGCGTCAATAAGGTAACGTTCTGGCATGACCTCACCGTACTGCGATCGAAGAGTTGCTGAAAAGGCGCATAACAACTCCATCGCAGCTTTCTGGTACGCAACACCGTTTGAGGCATCTTTGGGTACACGAGAGTCTATGAAGGCTCTAAGAAGTACCCCAGCCTCATGACGTATGCTTGGGCGCTCATCAAAAAGTGTCAGTAGCACACGATCAATCATCTCATTGTCAAGTATTTCTTTCCCCTCCGCCTCCTCGCCGTACACACGAAGAATAAGAACCATGACGCGAATTGCCAATTCCGCACATCGCATGTTGACATCACCACACATCTCCACAAGCCGACCTGCAAAAAACTGTAAAAACAAAAACATACGGTTCCCACTCTCTGGAGTCGCCACAAGACACTTCTGAATCATTGTTAGGGCTTCCGCACGAATCTCGGGTCTTTTATCGTACAGAGCCATACCAAAATATCGAAAGTACTTGTTCTCTGCGAACTCCTCATCATAGTTAAGAATCCACTTCTCCAATTGCTCAAACACCAAAAGTCGGATTTCAGGTGCAACATCGCGAGGACGTTGATGTATGGCTTGAGAGATCACATGATTACGTAACTCCACCATGGTCTGAATGCTTTCTTGTAGGGCACTCAATTGCTGCTTTTTGCCCCGCCCTCGTGACGGCAGTCGATGATTGAGGTCCCGAATCAGGCCGTTAAGAGCCCCAACAAGGGCAAGAAGGGCAACAATGGATGTGTGACGGAAACACCGCGCTTTGCTCTCACTCATGGCAATAAGCCACCGCAGAAGCGTCGAGAGAAGCAAACCATCAAGAAGAATATTCGCATTATAACAAAACTCCACAAGACGAGCAAAAAAACGACGATATGCAGTACGAAAAACACGATATTTGGTTTCCTTTCGCACAAATGGATACGCTGAGGCATTCTGTTGGGTCCGCGCGTACATCTCCTCCAGAAGTGTCGTGACGTCCGCATCGTCTTTAAGTGCATTTCCGTCCAATTCTACCTGAGCCGCACCTGAGGCTTTCCCCACAAGATTCAGAATAGCACAGCACACTGTCTCTTTGCCGCCATCAGAGTAAATGCGGACAAGATCCTTCACCACATGATCGGCTGATGCTCCTTCCACAAGCGCCTTATAAAGCGATTCCCCGAGTGAACTGCCTTCTTCCTGCAGCAGAACGGGTTCTGCAGCGTCAGGGACACCCGACCCCCGCGCGGCGTCCGTATCAGTTGGCGCAGCAGCCGCTGTTGCAGTTGCTCCTGGGGTAGCAGCCTTCTTCGTCTTGCGTTTTCCAGCCATTGAAAGGAATTTTTGTGCACTAAATATATATATATATATATATGTTCCTTCTTCTCTCTTTTTCGTCCTCTTGCCGCGTTTCCCCCCCTTTTTTTTTCTTTTTTTATATGTGCGTCCTCCACTTGGCCCCGCCGTCCGAATGCCCAAACAAACAAGAAGGAAGGAGATCCTCCGGAGAAAAAACAAGTAAAAAAAAAACACAGAAAACAAAACAAAAATACCTAAAAAGGACCGCACCACACTTATTCTCCCCTAACTGCTCTTCACACCGGAGCAGATGCACAAAGTAGATATTGGAATAGTATGGGAAAGAGTTCATACAAACTGAACGACCCACACACAAAGATGGAACAATTCAAGAGAACAAGAAAACCTTGAAACAAAAAATCACGCCTACCCACTCACCCGCTAAGGAGCTCCATTAACGCGGTAGGCATCGCTGGTGGCAACGCCCCAGGTTGCGTGACACGCTGAATGGACGCTGGTGGTGCGGGCTCCTTTAGCAAACCGCTCTGCGCCTCCAGGGCACGGTTCATCATTGGAACGACCTGAATTGTGGGTAACGGAACAAACTCCTCATCCGGCGGGAGATCTTTCAGAGGCTCCGGTGGGATGAGTTGCGGGATAGGCGCTGCTGGCTCCTCGGAAGTCGCCTCCACGGTATCCGTCGCAGTTAGGGGTGGTGGATCTGCAACGACTTCATCACAGGGGCTACAAGGTTGTTCTTCCACCACTGGTTGGATCTCCGGCACCTCCTGTGGCTTTTGAAGCAATTCCGACACGTCAAACTCTTTAAACTTAGACAAGGCACCACCACGCTTTCCCTGTTCATCCGTGCTAGAGACACTCTCCTTCGTCGAGCTGGAAGCGCGCTTCCGCTTTTTTGTTTCCTTACGTGGCATCAGCGCTACAATTTTCTTAGGCCTTTTCCTTCCCTCTTTTTTTACTATTTTCCCTATCCTTTGGGTGCCAGGTTCTGAGTACACACAAACACAGAGACATGAGAAAAAAAAGAAAACGAGATCACAGTGTTTTGCCGCCAAAGTTGTGCAGAAGTAGAAGATGATGATCTGGCAAATGCAAAACTGCGGAACTGAAAGCCCCGCACACCTATTTGTTGCTATTTTACTCCTTCCGAGCTGCAGATTCGTTTTTATCCCCTCTAAATCGTTCAATATTTCATAATTCTCATCTTTATTGTGTGCAAAATCCCCCAACGTTCAGTATATATATATATGTATATATATAATTTATACTTTTGGATACCCTCTTTTTCTTTTTTGTTGGGTTTTTTTTGGAGAAGATGCCGTTTGGATGAATCACTCTGTGCACGCTCCGGTGAGAAAGTAAATAAAAATAGGGAGAATGAAAGAAACAAGGGGAAAATATAATAATCATAATAATAATAGTAATCATAAAAGCCTTCATTGACATCCGTTGGCGCTGATCTCTCTCACTCCTCCACATCCAAGGAGCGTTCTTGCAGAGTTTCCTCCTCTTCAGCTTCCGGAGCGGGGGGAATGTCCTCTGGACGCATCTTAAAACCATCCAAGTACTTCCGCGCTGCCTCCTCCGTGAGAACCATGAAAGGTGTGCCCTTTCCTACTATGGCAATCGTTGTATTCTTTATATTTAGCTCCGCGCCTCCCGAGGTTGCCGCCGCAAGTGCCTTCAATGCATGCATAATAAGCTCATCAAGGCCACAGTCTGGGAAAGATTCAAAGTGCTTTTCCAAATATGTACGAGCAGCCTGTGAGCGCAAACCCATGGCCGTTGCCTTAAAGTCAAATACGTCTCCAGATGGGACTGTATGATACAAATGAGGCCCTGTGCTGTCATATCCAGCAATTAAAAGACCCACACCAAAGGGCCGCTTCCCTGCAAACTGAATGTGGCGCTGATACTTCTCTCCAACAATTTCCGCTATGAGCGGCAAAGGATTATCGCTGTCGTGCATATAGCGATAGTTCATACATTCTGTGCGCAAGAAGCGGGCTAACATGCGGCCGTCCGCGACAAGACCCGCTA